GTGTATGTACAACGTTTAATGCTGCAGCTGCCTAATGAATTAACTCTAATAGACAGCGAAGATGTAGAGAGCTGGAGTCTTCCTTCTTCAGGGCGCAGCAGAAGAAAGAAAAATGACAGCACTCCTGCTGGTGCTGCTGCTGCTGCTGCTGGACCTGGTGCTGCTGGTGGTGATGCGCCAGCAGCAGCAGCAACAGCAGCAGCAAAGAAAAAAAGAAAGAAGAAGAGACTTCCTAAAGGATGCAGCGAAGACAAATCAAAGATGCATGCACCCGACCCAGAGAGGTGGCGGCCTAAACATGAGAGGTAAAAACAAAAATAAAATAAATAAATAAATAAATAAATAAATAAATAATATATAAATAAATATATATATGTATATAAATAAGTATATAAATATATGCAAATAGAATTAACTAATTATTATTGTCATAGAGGAGTCATTTTTATGTAAATATTAAATATAGTGTATGCAATATACATAGATGTATATATTATATATATTATATATATTAGATATTATATATATTATATATGCATGTAGAAGACATAAAGAAGTAAAGCAGAAAATAAAATAAATAAAATTAAATAAAATAAATATTAAGGAGATCATCAGAGAAGAGACAGTTTAAATGCAGATATATAAAAAATATGAATAGAAAAGGACAAATACACAAGTGCTGCTGCTGCTGCTGCTAGTGCTGATGCTAATACTAATGCTGCTGCTGCTGCTGCGTTTTATTTGTTTCTGAGTGTTTGTTTGTTTGTTTATTATTTATATGATTATTATTTTGTCGCACCTGTTGTGTGTATAATAATTATTTGTCTTATATTTCTTTCTTTGCTTTGTTTGTTTTGTCTGCTGTAATTCTTCTTGCTGCTTTTGAGTGTTTTGTTTGTTTTTGTTTCTCTTTGTTGAGGAGTTCAAAATGATGCTGTCTTTGTGTTTTGTTGTTGATGAAGATTGTTCTTTTTCTCTTTTATCTTCTTTCTTACGTTGGTATCTTTCTTCTTGTTGCTTTTCTTCTGTGCTGCAGTTGTTGCTGCTTTGCTGCTGCTGTTGCTGCTACTTTAGTGCTGCTACTTACCGTGCTTTTCACAAATTTGCTGCTGCTGCTGCTGCTTCTGTTGCTGTTGCAGCTGGTGCTCGGTCTTCTTTTCTACTGCTGCTTCTGCTGCTGTTGCTTGTTTCTTTCTTTATGTTACTCTTGCTACTCTATTTCTTCTATTTATATTTGCTTTCTAGCTGCTGCTGCTGCTTCTCGTGGTTGACTCACCTGCTGCTGTCTTGTGTCTCTTTTGCTGCTGTCTTGTGTCTCTTTTGCTGCTGTGCGGTGCCTCTGTTGCTGCTGTCTTGTGTTTGTTTTGCTGCACTTTGTTTATTTTTTGTTTTTTTTCTCTTTCTCTTCGATTAGAGACAACACTAGCAGAATAAATGAAAAGAAGTAGAGCATTAAAATAGACAGAGATGCATTTAGTAGAGAGTAAAACGAGAGAAAAAACGTAACAGCATACACCTATATAACCAGAAGGAACCGTTGCTGCTGCTGCTGCTGCTGCTGTAGCTGTTGGTTGTTGAAGAGCAGCAGCAGAGAGATTAGACAGAGACAAGAAGGGAGGGGAGGGCCTCCTTGGGTTTGTTGTTGTTAGTCGTTTCTTATTTGCTCCTGGGCGATGCCTCTTATGTTGCGGTGTATGTACAACAGAAGCGGCTATAAGAAGATGTTAAAACGCAGAAAAGAATGTCTTAGAGGAGGCGCTCAAGGCGCTGTGGCTCCAGGTCAGTCGGCAGCGGCCGGTGCCTTGCAGCAGCTAGCGGTGACTGCTGCTGCTGCTGCTGCTGCTGCTGCTGCTGCTGCTTATGCGTGGATCCGGGTGTATGAGGGATGTTTTATCGGTTTTTTCGGTATTTTTAATTGTTTTATTATGTTAAAAGAGTAAATAAGGCATAAATGTATCTTTTTTGCGTTCAATTTCCCTCAGGTACAGCCGAGGCTGTTACAGGGTTCCGAGACGCAGGAAGGACCACCGCAAGGACGAAGGCAGACACAGAAGACAGCACTGCTCGTCATTTGTGAGTTTAAAACAATAATATTAATTTAAAAAAAATAAATATTCTTATTTTTTATTCAATTTACAACTATTTTAACCCTTTTTCCCTCATTTTACCCGCAGGACGCGCAGACGCGGAGGCAGACGCTGAGGTGACCGCTTCGAGCTGCCTGAACACCTGAGCTGCCTGTACACCTCAAGAGGTGCCTATACACCTCAGAATATGAAGACGCTAATTTCCCCTTCTAGTCGAATATTATTCATCTTTGCTTCCTGCCGGACCTCCTCTAATCAACCCGCCAACACTCAGCGGGCAGATCGCCCTAGGTGACCTTAGCAGCAGCAGCAGCAGCAGCAGCAGCAGGCCCAAGGCAGCAAATCAAATGGCTATGACTAGCTGTCCTGGCAGCCTGTTGTTTGTTGCTGTTGCAGTAGGGCGTTTGTTGGGTGTTTCCTCACGCTGCTGCAGTTGCTTCTTCTCATACTCCGAGCAGCATATTGCTGCCTCTCAGAAGCAGCAGCAGGTACTGCAGCAGCAACAGCAGCAGCAGATGCGACTGCATCTACAGCACCAGCTGCATCTGTAGCAGCATCTGCAGCAGCGCCAGCGGCAGCACCCGCATCGGCAATAGCAATAGCAGCGACTGCTGCAGGTGTATCTGCAGCAGCAGCAGCAGCAGCAGCAGCAGCAGCTCCTGATGGGTGTTAACTATTTATAGGAAGACTGCAGCACCCCATGGCTTCCCGTCGCCCGTGCCTGCTGCGCAGTACAAGCTGCCGCCGCAGCAGCAGCAACAAAAGCTGCTGCAGCAGCAGAAACAATAGCTGCAGCAGCAGCAGCAACAATAGCTGCAACAGTAGCAGCAACAATAGTTGCTGCAAGTGCAGCAACAGTAGCTGCGGCAGCAGCTGTTCCAGCAGCAGCAGTAACAGCTGCTGAAGCAGCAGCAGCAGCAGCAGCAGCAAACAGATTGATGTGTGTAATGTTGACGTTGCAACAATAAGAGTATAGGAGTAATAAAGAAGCAGCAGACGGAGTTGTCTGCGGCGTGCTGCTGTTTGCTGCTGCTGCTGCGGGTAGAGTTAAATGAACGCAACGAGTATTTGTCTCTTTTTATAATATAATTATTATTTATAAAATATAAATTTTGAAGAAAAAGCATAAACAAACAGCACACCTGCTGCTGCAGTGTCGGGGGAGGGGGCAGTGCTGCTGCTGCTGCCGCTGCTACTAGTACTGCTGCTGCTGCTGCTGCTGCTGGTACAGCAGCAAGAGGGTCTGAACCTTCACTATTGCTTTTTTGTTTGAGGTAAATTGTCGTTAATTTATTATTTAAATGAATTAATAACAATAAATTAAACGTAAAAAACACGAAGACACCCCACAGACAGAAGAGTGAACACTGGTCTGGTCTACTGCTACCGCTGCAGCGCTCTCTGAGCGACGACGGCCCTGCTGCTGCTGCTGCTGCTGCAGCTGCTGCAGCAGCAGCTGCAGCATAAAGCCAAAATTGGCTGAAATTCAAATTCTTTTTTGTTTTGTTGTCAATAGAGGGAGCAGAAGTCTCGTGAGATCCCTCTTGTGTTGCTGCGGGCACCAGACTCTTCAGCAGCAGCAGCTGCGGCAGCAGCAGCAGCAGCAGCAGCAGCAGCAGCAGCAGCAGGAACTGCCCAGGGTCACTCGGGGTCACCGCTTTCCGTGTCAGGGGTGTTATATCTTGAGCTGTACGTACACCTCAGACAGGCTTCATCCCACACTGCAGCAAACGCTGTGTCTTGCAGCCCTCTTTGCTTTGGCTTCTTCCTTTGCTGCAGCAGCAGCAGCACCAGCATCAGCAGCAGCAGCAGCAGTAGCAGCAGCAATGCGCTTCCTGCAGTCTTATTAGGTCTTTGTGCTCTTGACAGCTTCTTTGTAGTGCGCCGCTGTCCCTAGAATGCCTCCCTCCAGCGACCGTGCAGCAGCAGCAGCAGCAGCAGCTGCTGCTGCTGCTGCTGCTGGTACTGCATCTACTGACGAAGATGGTGTGGCGGCACCTCGGCTGACTGTACAGCAATCTGTGTTGCAGCAACAGCAGCAGCAGCAGTTGCAGCAGCGGGAGCAGCAGCAGCAGCAGCAACTGCTGCATCATCAGCAGCAGCAGCAGCAGCAGCAGCGGGAGCTGCAGCGTCGTTTAAGCCGCAGGGGCCCTGGGCCTTCTATGAGGGCCTTGATGGGGATTGTCACCGTTGTGTCTCAGCCTGTTGCAGATTTGTTTGTATGGTTGCTGCGGTTTGTACGCGAGTGCTGCTTTACTCTTGCTGCTGCTGCTGCTGCTGCTGCTGCTGCAAGCAAGAGACTCTTAGGGTTCCCTGTAAGCCATTGCTGTTAGGATCTCTTCTTCTTCTTCTTCGTCTTATTCTTCTTCTTCTTCTTGTTCTTCTTCTTCTTCTTCTTTTTCTTCTTCTTCTTCAACATCTTTACCTTCTTCATCATCTTCTTCATCATCTTCTTCATCATCTTCTTCATCATCTTCTTCATCATCTTCTTCTTCATCTTCTTCATCTTTCTTTTTCTTCTTCTTTCTTCTTTCTTCTTCTTTCTTTTTCTTTCTTCTCCTCCTTTTTCATCTCCTTTTTCTTTTTCATTTCGCTTTCTTTTTCTTTTTCATTTTCATCTTCTTTTTCTTTTTCTTTCTTTTTTTATTCTTTTTTATCTTTGTCTCTGTTTATATACTCTCTTCTTTTTCATTTGTTTCTGTTTGTATGAATTGTTGTTCTTCTCTGTCTGTGGCTACTTAGATGCTGTCTTGTTCTTTATTTATATTTATTTAATTGCTGTCTTCTTCTTTATTTATATTTATTTAATTGCTGTCTTCTTCTTTATTTATATCTATTTAAAATTAATCTGTTTCTTTTTCTCAGTTTATTTATATTTAATTGTTTTCTTCTGTCTCCTTTGCCTCTGTGCTTGACTGTCTCCTCCTCCTGTCTCTTCGTTTTCTTTCTTTGCTTTTTTGTCTCCTTTTATCTATTTCTGTCTCCTTTTATCTCTTTTACTATCATTTTAATTATTTACCTCATTTCTTTTTTATTTTTGTTCTTCTCTCTCTCTTTGTCTCCCTTTTATTCATTTTCTTCTTCTCTAATGCGCTGTCTCCTTTTGTCTCTGTCTCCTTTACTCAATTCAGAAGCAGCAGCAACTGCCGAAGCAGCAGCAGCAGCAACAGTAGCAGTAGAAGTAGCACTAGAAGCAGCAGCAGTAGCAAAAGTCCTGGCAGAGCAGCAGCAGAAGCAACACCGGTAGCAGCAGCAGTAGCAGCAGCAATAACGGCAGCAGCAGTAGCAGCAGCAGCAGTAGCAGCAGTAGCAGCAGCAGCAACAGCGGCAGCAGCACTGATATGTTTGTCTTCAGGAGTCTCCTCTTGTGTCTCCTATTACACCTCAACCAACTGTGGGGGTAAAGAGGCAGCAGCGCCGTCAGCAGCGGCAGCAGCAGCAGCAGCAGAAGCAGCAGCAGCAGCATCAGCAGCAGCAGCAGCACCAGCACCAGCAGCAGCAGCAGCAGGTCGGTGCGCGCCGGAGCAGCACTGCAGCAAGGCAAGAACAAGGGCAACGGCTTCTCGCTGCAGTTATCTCTAACGGCAGCAGCACCGGCAGCAGCACCAGCAGCGTGCGCAGCAACAGCAGCAGCAGCAGCAGCAACAGCAACAACAGCTGCAGCAGCAGCAGCTCTCTGGGGTCTCTGTGGGAGACTGCCAGACAGGCAGCCCAGGCTTGGCTTGGTGCTGCTGCTTCGGGTGCTGTTGCTGATGCTGCTGGTGCTGCAACTGCAGCAACAGACACACCTTCGCCGCAGCTAGAAAGAGAAGCTGCAGCAAGATCTGTGTCTTGTGGAGGTTCGAAACGTGCTGCTGCTGCTGCAGTTGCTTCTTTTGAGGAAGCAGAAGCAGCAGCAGCACGAGCAGCAGCTGCTGCTGCAGTCGCTGCTGCAAAAAGAACAGCAGCAGCAGCAGCAGCACCCACAGCACGCAAACCCCAGCAGCACCAGCAGCAGCAGAAACAGCAGCAACACACGGATGCTGATACCACAGACGCCGGTGCTGACAACCAGCAGCAGCAGCAGCTGCAGCAGGGGGGCCTCCGGCAAAGAAAGCAGAAGCAACAGAGCAAGACCGCCGCTCAGGATAACTCTGAGACTCAGCAGCAGCAGCAGCAGCAGCAGCAGCAGCAGCAGCAGCAGCAAGAACTGTTGCAGCAGAAGGAGCACCACCCACAAGCGGCTGATCGGTGCCGATCAGGAGCAAAACCTACGGGAGCAGCAGCAGCTGCAGCAGCAGCTGCAGCAGCAGCAACAGCAGCAACTAGTGTCATTCCAGAAGCAGCACCGGCAGCAAGACGCAACAAAGTGAGGGAAGCTGCTGCAAAGTCAGCAACTCCCCAAGCAGCAGCAGCAGCAGAAGCAGCAACAGCAGCAGAAGCAGCAGCAGCAGCAGACGCACCAGCAGCAGCACAAGCTGAGCTGCAGCAGGGTCGCGAGGCTTCAAACAGGGATGAGTTCGCAGAATGCACAGGCGCAGAGCGGGCGGCGCTGCAGCAGCAGCAGCAGCAGCACAACCTGCAGCAGCAGCAGCAACAGCAACAGCAGAAACAAAAGCAGCCGCAACAGCGAGGAAGGCAGCAGCAGAAAAAGACAGGAGGCACATCCCCACGCCCTGGAGAGCAGCAACAGCAGCAACAACCGCAGCAAGACCAACAACAGCAACAACGACAGCCCCATCAGCAGCAGCAGCAGCAACAGCAACAGCAGCGGCAGAAGCGGCAGCAGCAGCAGCAGCAGCGGCAGCAGCAGCACCTGCCTGAGTCTGGTGAGAAGGCAATACATCCCGCAGCAGCAACGACACCAAAATCAGCAGCATCAGCAGCAGCAGCAGCGGCAGAAGCAGAAGCAGCAGCAGCAGCAGCAGAGAGTGGTTCAGGAAGACGGTATTTGGTGGAGATGAGCGCACGAGAGGTTGCTGCATTAGCTGATGTTGCTGCTGCTGCTGCTGCTGTTGCTGCTGGGCTCCCCCCTCCCATGGCTGTATCGGGAGCAGCAGCAGACGCAGCATCAGCAGTTGCTGAGACGGCAGCAGTTGCTGCAGAAGAAGCAGCAGCAAGGAGAGGACGAGCAGCAGCAGCAGCAGCAGCAGGTGCTGCTGCTGCTGCTGCTGCTGCGTACACGCACACAGACGAGGACTCCTCCACTGCAGCAGCAACAGCAGCAGCAGCTCCCGCTTCGCCTGCTGCAGCCACGCCGCTGCTGCCAGCAGAAACTGCAGCGGCAGCACCAACCCCATTGCCCCCAGCAGCAGCACCGCTTGCTGCAGCAACGCACAAATCTGCGGCAGCAGCAGAAGCAGCAGCAGCAGCTACACCTGCTGCTGCTGATTCAAATTGTGCAGGACAGCAGGAGCCAAAGACGCCCACAGAAGAAAAACGCAGAAGAAGCCGCCGGAGAGGTAGGCAGCAGCAGCAGCAGCAGCAAGAGCAAGAACAGCAGCAGCAGCAAGAGCAAGAGCAGCAAAAGCAGCAGCAGCCGCAACTGCCGCAACAGCAGCAGCAGCAGCAACCACAGCAGCAGCAGCAGTCGAAACAACAGCAGCCGCATCAACAGCAACAGCAGCAGCAGCAGCAACCACAGCAGAGGCAGCAGCAGCCTCAACAGCAGCAGCCGCAACAGCAGAAGCAGCACCAGCCGCAGCAGCAGAAGCAGCAGCAACCGCAGCAACAGCAGCTGCAACACCAGAAGCAGCAGCAGGCGCAACACCAAAAGCAGCAGAAGTCCCAAAAGCAGCAGCAGCAGCAGCAGCAGCAGGCGTGGCCTCATTCTCAGAAGGCACGTGAAGGCGACCCTCATCATAGAGGCCCCCCAGAGGCAGGAGCAGCTTCACATGCAGCCAATGCTGCTGAAGATTCTGCTGCAGCTGCACCTGCAGCACCAGCAGCAGCAGGTGCAGCGGCACCAGCAGCAGCAAGTGCAGCAGCAGCAGCATCAGGTGCAGCTGACACTGCTGGCCATACACCCCACCGCTCCCGTGAAGGAGGCCCCAGGAAAAATCCGTCTAAGGAAATGGGGCCTGCTGCGAGTTCTGCTGCTGCTGCTCCTGCTGCTGCTTCTGCTCGTGCTGCTGCTGCTCCTGCTCGTGCTGCTGCTGCTCCTAGTGCAGCAGCAGCACCGCCAGCAGCTGCAACAACACCAGCGGAGGCAGGAGAAGCAGAAGTGCATTGGCCTCCTTTAGGAAAAGCTGCTGCAATGAGGGGGAGGAGAAACTCTACTGCTGCGTGAGAGCTGCTGCTGCTGCTGCTGCTGCTGCTGCTGTGATTGTGGGGCTGCCATTTTGCACGGACCTTGCAGATAGCCGTTTAGGTGTTGCTGCTGGCTTTGCTGTGTATGTATTGCTGCTGCCGTTGCTGTTGCTGTTGCTGCTGCTGTTGCTGCTGCATGTGCTCCCCTTGCTGCTGATGCTGCTGATGGTGCTCTGCTGCCGCAGCACTGGAAGTAGTATTATGAGGAGAGGCAACGCGCAGCAGCAGGCGACCCCCAGCAACAGCAGCAGCAACAACAACTTCAGCAGCAGCTTCCTCTTACGGCCCCTTCCTGCTCCTGCGAATCCGCGGCAGCAGCAGCAGCAGCAACAGCAGCAGCAGCATCAGGCCATTGGTGGCGGCAGCAACTTCAACAGGAGGCGATTTCCAGGAGATGCAGCAAATGTCTCTAACAGCAGCAGCAGCAGCAGCCGAGGGCGAGGCAGCCCCTGGGCCCCGCAGCAGTACAACTATCGCCAGCAGCAACGCATGCAGCCACCGCAGCAGCAGCTGATGGGACACCCAGGCAAGTGGGAGCAGCAGCATCTGCCTGCTGCTGCTGCTGCTGATGCTTCTGTTGCTGATGCTGTTGCTGGTGCTGCAGCAGTTACAGTTGCTGCTGAATATGCTGCTGTTGTTGCTTTTGCTGCCGCTTTTGCTGCGGCTTTTGTCGCTGTATATATATATATATATATATATATAT